CTCTGGTTCCGGTGGGAGGACCCGGAAACAGAGACGTGGGACGCCGAAAATATTTTCGCCATCCGGGAGCTCCATGCCCGGGCGGAGGGCTGGCTGGAGCAAGAGGAGCACCAGGCTTTCCTGGTAAGTTTTTTTTTCGCCTTTCTCTCTCTCTCTCTCGCTCTCTCTCTCTCTCGCTCTCTCTCTCTCTCTCTCTCTATTCTTTTCCTCTTAAAATTAATATTAATTCGTTGTTTTTTTTTTGTTGCAGAGAGGAGATCAATGAGAGGGCGGAAGCGGCCCCAACACCCCCAGAGCCCGCTGGATTCGTGCCCTGAGGGACCAGGCCCGGGAATTTTTAGCCCAAGAGGAGGAATGGGGGGTCATCTACGACCTCGAGGATCTTTGGGACCTGAAGATCCTCTTCGGGGACGCCCCTCACCGACTGGACGAGCCCGAAAACTGGGACCTGGAGAAATGGGCCTAGGTCCTAAAAAAAAAAATTATTATTATAAAAAAAAAAGTTAAAAAAAAATTGTAAAAAAAAATACTAGAGTTAAGTTTTTAAATTTATTTTAGATTTAGATTCATATTATGCATTTTTAGGAATAAGTTTTATTAATTAAAAAAAAAAATTTTTTTTTTTAATGTATTCTACATTTAAGATTTTAATGTATTTTTTATACTTACGGGTTTTAATAAAAAAAAAATTAAAATAAAAAACACTCCTCTTTTTCATCACCCTGTCCCTTAGTTTTAAAAAAGTTAAAAAAAAAAAATAGAAAAAAAAAGAAAAAAAAAGTTTAAAAAAAAATGTTTAAAAAAAAAAGGTTAAAAAATCGACGTTTTTAGGTTTAGGTTTTATCAATAAAAAAAAATTATTTAAAAAAAAATCTCGCTCTCTCTTTCTCTCTCTCTCACTCCCTTATTTACCCCAGCCCTCTAGTTTTAGAAAAGTGTTTTTAAAAAAACAAATGTATTTATAGGCTAAGGTTTAAATAAAAAGAAAATTTTATTAAAAAAAATACATCCATGTTTTTTACATTCATTTTTTAATCTATTTTAAGAAAGTTTTCGATGTTTTTCATAGCCATAAGGCAATGTTGTCGCTCCGGTGTCGTGGCGTCGTTTTGGGCCTGTCGCCCTTATAATCTTACTTTCCGCTGTTGTGATGACGTCATGATACATTGTGCGCCGTATTCCTTTGTAGTTGATCTGGTAAGGTTCTGCTTTATCGACAACGAGGGCTCGAATCGAGTCATAATGTATCTGTTTACGCGTCTCATAGTTCAGACTAAACCCTTTTATCTTACTGACTTCGGCAATACTCCCATCAGGTGTTTTTACGCGATAAGTATAAAATTTAGGGCCTCCTGAGACAAAAGATGAAATGAAACTCCCTTCACCGTAGCCCTCCTTCGTCGGTCAAATCCCCTAGAAAGTTCCCTAGCGGTCATTCATTTTTTCCATTGCTCACGTAAATTACTGAATCTGTGTCGTAATATAAGACGCGCTCCTACTGTTTTTCCAAATAAGAATATAATTTAAGGCGTGCGTGAGCAGTTGTATATGCTGCAATTACAACATTAGCCTTGGTAGACAGTTCCGCAGCTTCGTTTGAATGTTTCCAGGACATGAAGAGAGTGTCGTTATCAACGGGTACAAGACCTGTCACCTCAATTTCAGGATTGGACATTATGTGGGCAAATTCCTCATATGTTCGAATAATTGCCTTTTTGGTTAAATTTTCTCTCTCTCCAAATTTACCCCAGAGACAGTTAAGACAAAGCTTCGCCACAGCTCTCAACCCAACATTCTTTTGAATTTTATCCTTGTCTAGTTTAATACCTTCCCTGGCCTCATATTCGGCTATGTATTTATTCTTTGATTCATCGTCTACGCACTCTGCAGGCCAATCGGAAGCTTCTTGTTTGATTTTCAGGAAAGTGGTTATGTACCCCGCGAATAAACCACCTGTACGCGTAGCCTGATTATAACGTGTCGTTTTTTTATACTCCCAAATTTCGCTAATTTCCAAAATTTTATAGCCCACTCCGACGGCTTTACGAAGTTCTGGTGCTGTCCATGTGCCCAAAAACTCACGGTCAATTGGATCGTCATGAGGGCAATTGTCTTGCACTAGATCTTTACAGCATGACCGACAGAGAGGGAACAATAGTTTCCCGTGGGCCTTGACAGGTAATACAGGGTGGAATAACCGACGAGGAGGTAAAAC